ATTTTACAAGTTAAGTTGGAGTTAAGCTGATTCCTTATCTTCACTTGTTGAAATTTGTAGCAATTTCCAAGTTGGAGTTAAGCTGATTCCTTATCTTCACTTGTTGAAATTTGTAGCAATTTCCAAGTTGGAGTTAAGCTGATTCCTTATCTTCACTTGTTGAAATTTGTAGCAATTTCCAAGTTGGAGTTAAGCTGATTCCTTATCTTCACTTGTTGAAATTTGTAGCAATTTCCAAGTTGGAGTTAAGCTGATTCCTTATCTTCACTTGTTGAAATTTGTAGCAATTTCCAAGTTGGAGTTAAGCTGATTCCTTATCTTCACTTGTTGAAATTTGTAGCAATTTCCAAGTTGGAGTTAAGCTGATTCCTTATCTTCACTTGTTGAAATTTGTAGCAATTTCCAAGTTGGAGTTAAGCTGATTCCTTATCTTCACTTGTTGAAATTTGTAGCAATTTCCAAGTTGGAGTTAAGCTGATTCCTTATCTTCACTTGTTGAAATTTGTAGCAATTTCCAAGTTGGAGTTAAGCTGATTCCTTATCTTCACTTGTTGAAATTTGTAGCAATTTCCAAGTTGGAGTTAAGCTGATTCCTTATCTTCACTTGTTGAAATTTGTAGCAATTTCCAAGTTGGAGTTAAGCTGATTCCTTATCTTCACTTGTTGAAATTTGTAGCAATTTCCAAGTTGGAGTTAAGCTGATTCCTTATCTTCACTTGTTGATATTTGTAGCAATTTACAAGTTGGAGTTAAGCTGATTCCTTATCTTCACTTGTTGAAATTTGTAGCAATTTACAAGTTGGAGTTAAGCTGATTCCTTATCTTCACTTGTTGAAATTTGTAGCAATTTACAAGTCGAAATTAAGCCCAGATTATTGTTTCTCTTCACTTGTTGAAATTTGTAGTAATTTACAAGTCGAAATGAAGCCGAGGTTATAGTTTGCACACTTCTAGCACTCTACTGGTTGGTCCAACCAAAGAAGATGCTTAACACTTGTTGAAATTTGTAACAATTTACAAGATAATGTTAAGCCGACATGTGATCATCTGTTGAAATTTGCAGCAATTTGCAGGTTGAGGTAAAAGCTAAGTATATTGTTTAAACACTTGTTGAAATTTGTAGCAATTTACAAGTAGATCATTGCTTAAACACTTGTTATAACTTGAGGAAAAGTTTACAAAGTTAACATTGAGTAGTATATGTTTCACACTTGTTAGAATTTATGAAAAGTTTGCAGATCAGTATCGTGCCGAAGTAAAAGTTTTGTAGCTATTATACCCGAGGTATGTAACCCCGAGAAGATTGCACAAGGAAGGAAGAAGTATGTAAAGCATGCAAAATATTCTAAGTATAGAAACCATGCAGAAACAATCAAGAGAATTGAAGATTAAAGCATTCAACAAAACCAGGAGGAACATCGGCCATGTGAAGAAGCTTATATTATCCAGGAAACAAAAAAAAAGTACAAAAGACAAAAAAAGAGAGACATCAAAGTTGTGGTTCCTCAGCCTCAGGAGCAACTTTGGTTTGGACCTCTGCAGATTCTTGAAGAGCTACTTCGGCCGCCTTCTCCATTGCAAGTTCTGCATCGATCTCGGCAAGAGTTTCATCAATATTCTTGTCAATTTGAGGAACGTTGGACGAAGCGTGCTCTAGAGTGGTTTCCTTGGCAACCCCTTCACCTATATCATCTTGAGTTAAGTCCATGATTTGCGAACTTGAAGGAAGGGATTTGGTCCCGGCAGCATCCTTAGGTTTCCTTACCAAAATTTCAGCCTTATCCTCGTCCTCACCTCCATCTTCATCCTCAGATTCAAAAGCATCCTCAGGTTGACTTGGAGGTGGAGGTGGTGGGAAGGGAAGAGGGATAGCATCGGCATTGCGGAAGGGTGAATCAGCAGGAAGATCAAGTTTCTTTATCAGGGACATCCAACTAAGGGAGAAGCCCCTGTTGCATGCCTGCCTGACCTGAAGTTTGTATTCTTCAGTAACGTCAGCCATACCCTGGGCGTATGCCTTTTCATCAGCCTCCTTAATTTCGACATCCTTGGTGGCCAAGGCCTCCTGGAGTTCCTTTTCGGCTTGGGCCTTTCTGTCCTCGGCCTCTATCTTTTCTGCTTCGGCGACCTTCCTTATGGCCTCGGCTGATTCAGCTTTTTCTTCGGCTATCTGTTGGGCCTTAGTTGTAGCCTCAGCCTGGTCTTCCAGCTTCTTCATTTTTAGTTGAAGACCTTTGTTAGTCTTCTGCAAGGCAGAAAACTCCTTCTTCATCTCGGTCATTCTTTCCCGATTCTTAAAAGATTGCATTGAAAACGAATGGGCATGCTGGATGGCCTGAAAGAAAATAGAAGTGTTGGAAAATATTTTAAGTATGAAACAGAAAGAAAGTCAAAAGTTCAAAGCAGGAGCACTTACTTGAACGGAGTGCTGGAGCATTAACGCGTAGTTCTCATACTCACTATACTCAGCATTTCGCTCCAGGTCCCCTGGAAGAAAAAGAGCGGTGCTAAGGGCGACGCCGACATTAATGTCATCGGCGCTCTCACTAGACATGATTGGCTTGTCCTCCAAAGTAATCTTTGGGGCCCAGGGGACGTCAGGTTTTTTGGACCCCGAAGCCGTTGCAGAGGACGACCTCGCTTTCTTTGACTTTGAAGATTCTGCTGGCTGTGTTTCAGCCGACCTTTTTGTAGAAACAGTCTTCTCACTCCCAGCCAATTGTGAAATTGGCAAAGCATCTTCATTCTCAACTACAGTGGCTTTGGCCTTTGGCTGAGCCTTTTTGGTTCTTTTTGGCTTTGGTAGGGGCATGGATTGAGTTGGATTAGCATCAGCATCAACTGGGAGGTCGGCTAGGAGATCTTGGGCAACAGGCTTCAGGCGACCCATCTCAGCAGTCTTGACAAGTCGACGCCGACGTCTTCTTTCTGGTATTGGGATTAAGTATGGGGCTGAAGTAGATGGCAGATCTGCTGGGTCAGAGGTGGATCCTTGGTCTGCTCGTGATGTGGAAGCAGTGGGAAGAGTTGTTGCAGAAGGTGGAGAAAGACTTTTCTTTTTCTTCTTCGGGACGTCAGGCAGAGTGGATTTGTACGTAGGAATAAAGTTCAGAAGAAGATGTGCTTTCCTTTTGTGGACAAGCAAGTCCAGGAGCTTTTTCAGGTCCTTGCTAAGAACGTAAGATTGGTGAAAGTCTTTCGCTGGCTTGCGAACGTCTGCAAGAAGAAACAGACATTAGAAACAGATAAAATATTGAAGACTTGAAAAGAAACAACTAAGTAAATAACACTAGGCTCTTACCCTTGCCCTCTTTAACCGTTCGAGAAAGAGGGTATAGATGGACATCTTCGTCTAGGGCAAATTCCCAATTTCCAGAGACAATGAAGCCGGAATGAAAGTCGCCGAGATAAGGCAACGGTTACAGACACGACGGAACAGCAAAACCCTCGCTGAAATAGAAGAATGAAGACGGTTGCAGAGCTTGAAGCTAGAGTAATGGAGGATTTGAGAAAGTTTAAGAGAGAGAGAAAGCCAGAAAATCAAGTGCAAAAGTAAAGAAGTAAGGAGGGAAAGTAAAATTTTATCAAAAACTTGAAGCGGTGGCAAAACACGGCATTTATTGCACCTAGAGGAACGCGTGCGTCAGATGGCGTAGACGGATAAAAGACGGCTTACAAGCGCGTCACAGACACGGGCAAATAAAGATAGAACACGTAAGGGGAACGGTTGAGAAGAGATGCATGACAGCTCATGCGCATGGGGGAATTTGTTTGAGTTCTTGTTCTCCGAAGAGAACACGTCGGCCTGAAATGAATGATCTCGGCTAAACAGTTTTTGAGCCAAATATGCAGAAAGAAATATCAATATAGGTTCCATCACCTCAGGATACCGAGGTAATAGAACCTAGGGAGCAGTTGTGGGGATATATTTTCTAAGTACCGACACGTGGCATGGTCACACCGACGTGTCAGCCGAGGTGTCACGTGTCGTGGTAGTTGTGCCGAGGTTATCTTGGCGAGGCCGAGGTTATCTCCGAGGATATCGGAATCCGAGATAAGCGGATAAGGGACAAGAGTCCTAGAGTAAAAAGAAGACTTTGCTAAAGATAAGGATAAAACTCTTAAGGAGTTTATCTTTATCACTTGAAGAGTCCAAAGTCAGTATTGAATTGAAGTCCATAGAAGTCAGGCTTCTAGTAGGACTTGGATTGAGTAAACTATAAAAGAGAGGTACCCCCGTGGGTCTAAGGTACGCAGTTTTATACTCAAGCTTGTGAGTTTAGCACTTGATTATCTTTGAGAGATATACTGACTTGATCGTCGGAGTGCCCCCGGGTGGTTGAACCACCGCCGGAGACTTCTCTTTCTGTTGCAGGTTAGCTAGAGGCCATCTATTCTGCCAGTGTTTTTCCAACTGATTACTAGGCGGGCAGTGTGGTCAGAAAATCACCCACACAGCTTTGCTTTGGTTGTGTTACTATTTATCTGATAGCAAATTGTCTTATATCTATATAATGGTGCTTCATTTTCAGCCATAAAATTGCTCCAAAAGATCTGTTTGCCCATTCTCCTGGGAGCTCGGCAGCTAGGCAATATCATCTCGGCCATCGTCTGCCATGCTGCGCTTCATGCCCAAGTACTCCAACAGCTAAGCTCAGATGAGGATCGGACTCGGCGGCATCTCGGCAAAGCCGAGCTCAGGACAACTCACGCTTGTCTGCAGTCGACCTACTGTTTTTTTTAATATAGAAATAATTTATTTATTTATTTTATATAAAAATAATTTAACAATCACATCACTAATCATTTCTCACACTATCATCAAAATAAACACACTTTTACTTAATCCCCTCACTAACAATCCACACATTAACAATCTTTTCACTAACAATTCTCTCACTATCAATTCTTTCCAATTTTTCTCTGAAAACAAACGGGGCCTTATTGTCAATATTTTATTATCTTACTACTTTTGGTAAATTCAATAGTTTAATAGTTAATTTTTTGGGTAAATTATAGACACCTTCTTCAGATTCTTGACTATTACACTAGTCTCCCCTCTTTTTCTTTTTTTCTTTTTAAATTACACTGACCTCCCTTGAAGTTTCTGACAATTAAACTGACCTATGCTTTTTTTTTCTAGAATTATACTCACCTCTCTTTTGGTTTCTGACAATTACCCTGAATTTTCTTTTTTTTCTCTTCTTTTTTTTTTCTCTTCTTTTTTTTTTTCTTTTTTTTGAAATTACACTAACCTCCCATGAGGTTTATTTTTTATTTGCAAATTCTCTATTTTTCATTAGTTGACCATTAGTTTGACTAATGTTTTATTTTATTTTTGGCGGAAATCAATGATTACTTGATATCACATAGGGAAATTTCAGTTTGATTTGTCTAACATTTAAAGTGATTATCTATAAATTAAAAATAAAGGAAGTCAATTAATCATTTTTTAGGTGAACAAATTAATATGAATTATTGAAGTCAAATGAAAAATATAAGAACTTGTATGTATGTAATTCAATAAATATGTGTATATATTCAACCATATGAGTATTTAGAAATATTATTTGATACTATTCAAATAAATGCATGTGTTCTCCAATTTGATTTTTATTAATTTAGATAGTGAGACTCATTAATTTTATCTTATTTGTTTGAAGACAATTGAACTGTATGATGTCTAGTATTGATTAAAAACTACCAAATAACTTATCTTATATTTATATAATTAATTTTTTAATTTGTTTCATCATCAATTTTGCTATAACAATAGGTTATTCTATAATACACATCATTTTATGTGTACCATATACAAATTATTATATTTATGGTGTTGATTATCACAAATATCATAACTAATTTATTTTCAATCATAATTGAAAAAAATAAGTCATAATCAAACACCACATAAGGTATAACCAAAATAATAATTATACATTTAATGGTTATCAACAAAAATATCTCAAAAGTTAAAATTACTAAGCTAACCCCTCCTATTAACATCGGTTACTAATAGAGGCGATCAGTGTAATTTCAGAAAAAATAGGCGAGACCAGTGTAATTGTTAGAAACTTCAAGAGAGGTAAATGTAATTTTCCCTATATATAAGTGAATTTTAATATATATAATTTTAATGATTACATGGTCATTCTAGAATACAAACTCTCAAAAGGGTATGTACCAATCACTTTCAATCATAACTAAGAAAAATAAAAATGAGTCATAACCAAATACCACATAAGGTATAATAAAGATCTTTTTATCATAATCAAAATAATAATCACAATAAATGATAACCAAAATACAATGAGTTATAATTAACACCACAATAAATCAACCGAAGATCACAAATATTATAATTGGGCCTATGGTACATGGGTATGTATTATAGAATTTCGTATTTAGAAAAAAGTGAAGGAAAGAGAAATTTATAGGTATTTATCATTTTACCTATATTATTTTTATTATTTATTTTTTTTTTATTTTTTTTTTGTAACATGAATGGAGACCCTATCTTAAGTTCGCTTAGGGCCCAAAAATAACTATGGCAGCGGGCTTTTTTCTTTTCTTTTTTTAAAATTTTATTTTATCAATTGATAAGAGATTAATTACAAATATTTCTTCAAATTAGAAAATTAAAGTCTAATAATAACTAGAAAAACAACCGCCAACAAGCCTGCATCACAATCTCATACTACAAAGTGATACTACACAATTTCTAAGCCAAAAAGACCTCAAATCTTGGTCGGCCGGCCTTGTTAGCGGAGCATATTTTTGTATTCATCACGCAAATTAGACAAATAAATTGTATCATGCCATATTGCAGTGGCTTGAATATTCTCAATAGCTTTGCTTTGGTTGTGTTACTACTTATCTGTTGCAAATTGTCTTATATCTATATAATGGTGCTTCATTTTCAGCCATAAAATTGCTCCAAAAGATCTGTCTGTTGATTTTCCAATCAGTTGAATTTTTTTTTTTAATTTTTTTTTTCTTTCTCCCTGCTTTATTACTAGTATCTCCTGTTAATTTAGCGTTTCTTAAATATGATTCTATTGTATTTTATTTTTGTGTTCTCTGTTGTTGTTCATGCCAAATCATCTTGATCTCTTCTTACTCAACCTATCCACTTTTACCAGTTCATGAATAAAACAAATAAAATTCTATTCATTTTAGGAAATATGTGATACGTGGAAGAATGAATGGACTAAATCAACATTCAACCCAAAAACAAAATTCTAAAGGCTGTGCTTTGAAAGTAGTATCCACTATATGTTG